TGGATCCCAAACCCCTTTGTCCCCCAAACCGCTCTGGATCCCAAACCCCTTTGTCCCCCAAACCCCTCAGGCCATCGAGGAGGGCACCCTGGAGGAGATCGAGGAGGAAGTCCGGCAGAAGAAATCCTCACGGAAGCGGAAGCGCGAGCCCGAGGGACCCCCGGGACCCCCGGCGGGCGCCCGGAGCCGCGACAAGGACGAGGAGAGGAGCAAGCAGAAGAAACGGGGGCGACCCCCGGCCGAGAAGCTGTCCCCAAACCCGCCCCCCCTGACCCGCAAGATGCGCAAGATCGTCGACGCCGTCATCAAGTACAAGGACAGGTGAGGAGGACACGTGGGGATGGGAGGTTCCTGAGGTTCCTGGGGGTTCTGGGGGGTTCCTGGAGGTTCCTGAGGGTTCCCAGGTGGTTCTTGGGGTTCCTGGGGGGTCCCAGGTGATCCTGAGGGTTCCTGGGGGTTCCTGGAGGTTCCTGAGGGTTCCCAGGTGGTTCTTGGGGTTCCTGGGGGGTCCCAGGTGGTCCTGGGGGACACAACGAAGATCTGAGAGTGTGAAGGTCAGAGGGGATGGGATCCATGGGATGGGATCGGGGGGATGGGGGTGATGAGGATGGGAAGGAGGATGAGGATGGGATGGGAAGGAGGATGAGGATGGTGGGATGATGAGGATGAGGATGGTGGGATGATGAGGATGAGGATGGTGGGATGATGAGGATGATGGGATGATGAGGATGAGATGATGAGGATGAGGATGATGGGATGATGATGATGAGATGATGAGGATGAGGATGAGGATGAGGACGAGATGATGAGGACAATGGGATGATGATGATGAGGGTGAGGATGAGGATGAGGATGAGATGATGGGGATGATGAGGATGAGGATATGATGAGGATGAGGACGACGGGATGATTATGATGAGGATGATGAGATGATGATGAGGATACGATGAGGATGAGGATGACGGGATGATGATGGTGAGATGATGAGGATGAGGACAACGAGATGATGATGATGAGGATGATGGGATGATGGGATGATGAAGATAAGGATGATGGGATGATGATGATGATGAGGATGATGAGATGATGATGAGGATGAGGAATGATGAGAATGAGGACAACGGGATGATGATGGTGAGATGAGGATGAGGATGAGGACGAGATGAGGAGGAGGACAATGGGATGATGAGGATGATGAGGACAATGGGATTATGAGGATGAGGATGATGAGATGATGATAGGTGACCAGAGATGACCAGGAGTGACCCAAGGGTGACCAGGGGTGACCAGAGTGACCAGGAGTGACCCAAGAGTGACCAAGGGTGACCAGAGTGACCAGGGGTGACCAGAGTGAACAGGAGTGACCCAAGGGTGACCAGAAGTGAGCAGAGTGACCAGGAGTGACCAGGGGTGACCAGAGATGACCAGGGGTGACCGGAAGTGACCAGGGATGGCCAGAATGACCTGGGATGACCAGAGATGACCAGAAGTGACCAGAATGACCAGGAGTGACCAGAGTGACCTGGGGTGACCGGAAGTGACCAGAGGTGACCAGGGGTGACCGGAAGTGACCAGGGGTGACCAGGGGTGAGCAGAGTGACCAGGGATGACTGGAAGTGACCAGGGGTGACCAGAGATGACCAGGGGTGACCGGAAGTGACCAGGGGTGACCAGGGGTGAGCAGAGTGACCAGGGATGACTGGAAGTGACCAGGGGTGACCAGAGATGACCAGGGGTGACCGGAAGTGACCAGGGGTGACCAGGGGTGAGCAGAGTGACCCAGAGTGACCAGGAGTGACCAGGGGTGACCAGAGATGACCAGGGGTGACCGGAAGTGACCAGGGGTGACCAGGGGTGAGCAGAGTGACCAGGGATGACTGGAAGTGACCAGGGGTGACCAGAGATGACCAGGAGTGACCCAAGGGTGACCAGGAGTGAGCAGAGTGATCAGGACTGACCAGGGGTGACCGGAAGTGACCAGGGGTGACCAGAGTGACCAGGACTCACCAGGGATGACTGGGGTGACCGGAAGTGACCAGAATGACCAGGGGTGACCAGAGTGACCAGGGATGACCAGGGGTGACCAGAATGACCAGGACTGACCAGGGGTGACATGGGGTGACCGGAAGTGACCAGAATGACCAGGGGTGACCAGAGTGACCAGGGATGACCAGGGGTGACCAGAATGACCAGGACTGACCAGGGGTGACATGGGGTGACCGGAAGTGACCAGGGATGGCCAGAATGACCTGGGATGACCAGAGATGACCAGAAGTGACCAGAATGACCAGGAGTGACCAGAGTGACCAGGGGTGACTGGAAGTGACCAGGACTGACCAGGGGTGACC